TTCTGCAGCAGTATTGCACAGATTTGAATGTTTGTGTTTCCCCAACAGTCTTCCCTTCTGAAAACAACCCCATTTTTAATGTATTTCCTAGCAGGTAAAGTTTTGTTGACCTTCTGTCATCCTTAGGACTACCTCTGGAATGTCTTTGGTTTCTGATAAAATCTTTACTGGAGTGTATTGCCTAGAGCTGAAGGCTTTGGAACATAAAGTCAAACACAAGGATTAAGACTTGAAAGTTCTAATTGTGTTTATATATCCCTTGATATGCCTGATGCTTCTGTAGGAAATGTCCCTGTGCAATCATGTTGGACTTGCAGTCCTGTAGTGCTATAGGTCCTTTTCAGCTATTTTGTTTCCTGGTCATTGGCCATTCCTGGTCATTCTCCATCCTCTGTGCTGTGGCTGGCTTATTTCTAAACACAGCTCCTGCAGTTAACCCAAATTGCACAGCATCTTATTTTCTTAGTCAGTTATCACTCCTGCTCCATTAGGATGTCTGTGATTTCAGTAGTTGTCATGTAGCCTCCTTGTTAGATGTCAGGTCTGTGTTTAGTATGGCTGAAGCCTGTTCCATAACTGGCCTCATTATTAAAAACACCAAATGGAGCTAGTCCTGGAGTGGGGCTTGGTGGGGTCTATTCAGTTCTTTGGTTATGACAGTCCATTTTTGAAGCAAAATGTGCCCCCCTCACATGCCTTTCTCCAATATGCTTTTCCTACCATTCCAGCATGCCTCATAAATAACACACACACACAAAAAAAAAAGAACATTTTTTGCTTCTTTGACTCTGCAGCCTGTATACGTGATTCAGAAAAAAGTTGATACCAGTTTAGTATGATTTGTTGCCAAAGCTGTGATGGATGTGGGGTTTTTTTGTTGTTGTTGTTGCTTGTTTTTTTAATTTACAGATATTTTAATTGAGTTTGTTCATACCAGTGTCTTTCTGGTTGTTGGAAGTTAATCTGGAAAGCATCTTAGAAGGAAAATCACATAATCATAAAATGGTTGAGATTGTCTAGTCCAACCCCATCTAGTCATGCACAGCAGGTTGCTTATGATCAAGTCTAGTTGGGTTTTGAGTATCTCCAAGCATGGAGACTTTACAGCCTCCATAGGCAGCTGGTTGGCATTTTTGATGGCCCTTGGATCAGCTTCCTTGAGGAGCAGGAAATGCAAGAATTGGAAGGTGCTGGGGGGATGGGGAGGAAAATACTTTTGCTGCCAGTCAAAGGAGAGTATAGAGAGAGTATTGCTATCAAATTTTGCTGTAAATATATTATTACAGGGTAAGAATGTGATTCTGGACCTCTACGAAAAAGGGATATTTCGGTGGCTTAGGGAGGGAAGTGATTGTTTCTACAAAGGTTAGTTAAGCTGAAACAAAATATTTCAAGTAATTCTTTCTTTTTATCATTTAAAGAGAGAAAAAAAAGTTTTAAAATGAAAATGTGCTTTGAAAGTTAAAGAAAAAAAAAAGAAAAAAAAAGATCAGCATGAAACATTTGGAGTTTGGACTAAAAAGCTTTTCTTCTGCCACCCTTCCATGCCACTCTTTTTTGGTTTTCTTTTACTCCATTTGTTTTATGTGGCCTTGGGGAAAGTCAGGCCAGCATATGCTTCCACTTGCCCATCTCTGAGAAGGATGTATGCTTCCTCTTTTTTTTCCCTTGTAGAAGCCATTGTCTAGAGGCATTTTTTTCCATGCATTATGTTCTCCTCCCTCCCTGCTTACAGCTTTCTTATTGCTGGTGCACTGGAACGTGAAGAAAATAAGATAACAACTTGAGAGTTTGTTCCAGTATATTGGAAATCTGTGGATTGTTTTCTTTTAACTTTTACTCTTATTTACTCATTTTCAGTTTTCTCAGCACACATACATGATACACGCACATCACTTTTGTTTCTGACTACTTCGATACACTGAGGCTGTGTGAGGAGCTGTACCCAGGATTTTCTTAGTTTTTGTCTTTTGGGGGGGGCTTGTACTTGAATGTTTAAAAAGAAGAAAAGGGGAGAAGAAGTGCAAGAGCTGCCAAAACAGTCCCAGGGGGTTGAGGGGATAATTGGGGATTTCTAGTGCTCTGCTCTTCATGATGGACCAGGGAAAGGAATAACTTCAGTGTGCACTGCTGATCCTGTGCACCCCAAAAGAGATTTCAGCCCTCTGCTGTGGTATTCAACAAGGCCTTGGATTAATAAATCATATGGACTTTGGAACATCATACGGACATAGCTGAGGTTCATGATTAATGCATAACTGACCATGTATCAGAAAGCTCTTCTAAATTAGAAAGCTCTTCCAAATCAGAGGAGGTTCTCAGCTTTTTGCTGTTAGAGAGAAGGTGTCTGGTCCCAGCCATGTGCTTCCAATATTGAGCCAAACATGCAGCCTTGGGCATCGCCTTGCCCGGGTGTATGCTCCAGCATCTTCTGCCATTGCAGTGATGGGTTGCAAATGCTTATTGGCGAGAGACACTTTAAGGCTTGGGTTTTTAAGAGGTCCTTCATTTTAAAAGTGGCATTTGTAAGGCAAAGCAGCTCAGTACATGGATGACAGATACTATTTCCAGTCATCCCATGCCAACTTGTGGACCCTACTGCACTGTTCAATGCTGTTCTACTGCAGTGTCACCCTATCACTTATGATGAAGGGCTACCCAATGGGCAGTGTTGTCTTCGGTGAACAAATCATTCTCCTCAGCTTACAGGCTGTCCTTTTTTGATTTGTTTTTTGAGGAAACGACTGCTGGGTTTGGTCCTGTTGCTGTGTTTTTTTCCTTCAGATGCATCCATGCTCTATCCATGCTCTTCCTTTGCCATCATCTCTGCCATGCTTTAGGGCTGAGATACTTTTTAAGAGTTGAGAATCCCTCCAGTATGATCATAGAAATCATAGAATGCTTAAGGTTGGAAGGGACTTCTAGAGGTTAGCTAGTCCAAACCCCTTGCACACACAGGGTCACCTACAGCACGTGGCACAGGACTGCATCCAAGCAGGTTTTGAAGATCTCCAGAGAACCTGGACTCCTGGACCTGGACAGAGAACTCCACAACCTCCCTGGGCAGCCTGTTCCAGTGCTCTGTCACCCTCACTGTTAAGAAATTTTTCCTTAAGTTCCTGTGGAACTTTTGATGCTTCAGTTTCTGGCTGTTTCCTCTAGTTCTCTTGGTGGCCACCACTGAAAAGAGGCCAGCACCATCCTCCTCACTGCCTCCCTTCAGGTACTTATAGACACTGATTAAATCCCCTCTCAGTCGTCTCTTCTCCAGGCTGAACAGGCCCAGCTCCCTCAGCCTCTCCTCATAGGGCAGATGTTCCAGGCCCCTGATCATCCTTGTAGCCCTGCACTGGACTCTCTCCAGCAGCTCCACATCCCTCTTGTACTGTGGAGCCCAGAACTGGACACAGTACTCCAGATGCGGCCTCACCAGGGCTGAGTAGAGGGGCAGGATCACCTCCCTCGACCTGCTAGAGATGCTCTTCTTAATGCAGCCCAGGATCCCATTGGCCTTCTTGGCCACGAGGGCACACTGCTGCCTCATGGTCAACTTATCATCCACCATGACACCCAGGTCTTTCCCCGCAGAGCTGCTCTCCACAAGGTCAGCCCCCAGCCTGTACTGGTGTCTGGGGTTATTCCTCCCCAGGTGCAGGACCTTGCACTTGGCCTTGTTGAATTGCATGAGGTTTTTCACCGCCCAGTTGTCCAGTCGGTCCAGGTCCCTCTGGATGGCAGCACAGCCCTCTGGGGTATCAGCTACTCCTCCCAGTTTCGTGTCATCAGCAAACTTGCTGAGGGAGCACTCTGTGCCTTCATCCAGGTCATTGAGGAATAAATTGAACAGGACTGGACCAAGGACTGACCCCTGGGGGACCCCGCTAGCTACAGGCCTCCAACTAGACTCTGCACCGCTGATCACCACTCTCTGGGCCCTGCCATCCAGCCAGTTCCTAATCCACCTCACTGTCCACTCATCTATCCCACACTTCCGGAGCTTGCCCAGGAGGATGTTGTGAGGGACGGTGTCAAAAGCATGATTGCCCCTTGATGAATCCATGATGACTACTCCTGAGCACTTCCTTGTCCTCCACATGAGAGGTGAGGCTCACTGGCCTGTAGTTGCGTGGGTCCTCCTTCTTGCCTTTTTTGAATACTGGCGTCACATTGGTCTTCTTCCAGTCTTCCAGCATCTCGCCCATTCTCCAGGATCTTTCAAAGATGGTGGAGAGCGGCTTAGCTATGACATCCATGAGCTCAGGCAGAACTCTGGGGTGCATCCCATCAGGGCCCATGGATTTGTGGGTAACGAGTTTTCTTAGGTCCTCTCTGAAAAGATGATGAAAAGTGTCTGAGGGTGTTGGTGAGAAGACATCTGTGACGGGGAGGGAGAAGAGGCAGGCTTTCTTTGCAAGAGCCTTATTGACTTAAATCCACTTCTACTACCTTAGGACTTGCAGCATTACGTTTTTCTTTTAAAAACAGCAAGAAAAACTCTGGCTCCAATATTTATGCTAGAGACCTAGGAGATTATAATATAGCAGTAAACTGTGTCTTTTGAGAGGTCATCAAGCCTGTACTATGATGGATAGGCTCCCAGGCAGCTCCATAGTGGTAATGTTCCAGAAGACAGCATTACCCTGCTTTTTGATAGAGTGCCCCGTGTTTGCCTATGAACTCGAGATCTCAAAGCACTTTGTGAACAGGGAGTAATTAAAGTCCTGCCATGGCCAAAACAGGTAAGTGGTCATCCTTTATCACTGGAGAAAATAAGGCCCAGAGAGGTCAAATAACTTTGTTGCCCTCAAGATCAGCTATGAGTCCATGAGAGTGGGATTTTAGTGCCTCTTTCACTGGCTGGTAGATATCCTGAAATTTAGAGATAGGTCTGTCAGTCTGTGCTTTTCATTTGCCTTTTTTTGTTGTTGTTTTTGTCAAAGTACTGGGATTTAACTGACTGTTAACCAGTGTCACCTGTGTCCTTCTATCTGTTTTCACAGGTTTAAAATACAATCCTGCATTCACTGCTATCTAGAAAATGTCTTATGGATCCATTGATGGGAGTGGATTTGGAAGCAGGAATCCATTTGGAGGCCCTTCGCGACAAGGCTATCAACCTCTTGGTAAAGTATAGATCCCTTGCTGTAATTTACTTTACCTGACTTTCTAGGGAGTGAAGTTTTACGTGTTCATGCCCAATGTGTCTGCTGCATTTCACTAGCTAAATATCACATGCTCTCCAGAGGTCATTTCTGCATAATGATTTCCAGAGGTGAAGGCCAAGGTGTTGGGCTGATTTGTAGCATGAGCCACTTCAGCATGCTCAGGACCTGAAGTTGCAATGCATCTTGTTGCTTGCTGTGGAAGAACATCACTAATTTGGATTTTGGAGACTTTTTTGGGGACTTAAAGAAGAAATGAAGCATGATCTCCAGACTCACCTGTTTCTGCCATCATCCTCCCAGCGTCTCCGTGCAAACGTTGTCCCAGTAATTGCTCTCTGGCTGTCTGTAGGTCCGTTAGTGATGACAGTAGATGGGACACATGCAGAGCTGGTGCCTTTACTGCTGGGGAGGCTGTTCTGATCTGAGAAGTGTGTTCAGATGTGGTAATGGGTAAGCCAGACTTGCTCAGAAAAGGTGGAAAACTGTGGGCAAGTGTTTTGCAAATGTCTGCAAATTCCAGCTTTGTGATATGTTTTGTAGCAAAGTCCAGATTTAGACTCCTTACCTGTTCCGTCCTTTCCTAAGGAACTATAGAAAAGCTGAAGTACAAAGGCAAAAGCATCCAGATGTCAACCTGTATATTTTAAACAAACAACCTCTAATGCACAACTCAAAGCTATGTGATGTTAAAATAAAATAAAATAAAATTGTCGTAAAAAGTCAATACAATTCCCATAATTTTGGTACAAATTGTCATTTGCACAAAAATGATGATAACCTTTAGTTGTCGAAGGTCTTTGCTCTAGCATGGTCCCTTCCTGACACAGGCAAGCTCCCAGCCCTGACAGTGAGATGCCGCAGGGCCGTGCCTGCATTAATATAGTCTGGCTTATGGCAAGCCTTGTTACGTGTAGCAGCATCTTCATCATCTTGTGTTTAATTTTGGGACTGTCTCTGGGCAAAGCCTGGCTACGATGGAGGTGTCACTGTGACCTCAGACCTCTGCAGGAGCATCAGGATTTGAGATCTCTACGAGATCTCAAAGGACTCCATTTTCACTTGGCTCTTGGAAAACATCACCCTTCTCTTAAGTTGCTTTCAGTGCTGTTCATTAAGGAAGCCTCACTTCAGCTTCCGAGTTGTCAAGGTTGCAAATGGTCTTGGGAAGCGTTTTGTTGTCTTGCGAATAGCTGCTCCCACTGGATGAGAATAAAAAGGCAGTGTAAAGATTTCTATTGGTTTTCTGCTTTCTTATGAATTCTTTTTTTTTAAGAGAAGAGAATGTGTCGAATTAAGCGTGAGTTGTCTGTTCAGTTTTAAATAGTGTTTTTCAGGCTATTCTGCGAGGAAAAGTTTAAAGCATAAAGGAAGGAAGAATGGGGTATCTGGGCATAATAAAAGCGCCATAAGAAAAGAGAATCAAAATGTGGAATAGACAAACAATAAATCTCAATGCATTGCAGTTCTGTTTAAGAAACGTGAATAGTGTTAGTGCTGCAAAAAAAGATCCTTTTTTTTTTTTTTTTCAAACACAGAATAACTGGAGGCATTTGGAATCTGTAAATATTTCAATAGGTATCCCGTCATGCTCAACTCACCCATCGTTTTGGGGCTAAGTGACCCATGCAAAGGTGGAGCCCTCCTTGGAGGAATTGTGAAAACGCAAAAGCAAGCAGAGAAATAGCAGCTTTTGTGAGATAGCCGGGGAGCTACCTCTACCCTGTGTCCTGTATCCTATATCCTATGTCCTATATCCATTGCAGATGGCATTGCGAGGGGGCTCCCGAGGTGTGTCTTTTGTTGCCTTCTGTCCAGGTATCATCATTAATTAAATGATGGGAGAGACTGATGTGGAACGGGTCTCCAGAAATAATGGAGATGTTTATTTTTGGAAGCTTTTCCAGGTATCAGCTGAGTACTGGGTGTTGCACAGAAAAGTTAGAAAGTAGGTGTGAAAAAGGGCAGAGAACAAGCCCTTAAAAGCATCTTGAACGCTTCTTTTCCCCACTTATTCCTTCCTTTTTTAACATCAGAATGGAGAAAAAAAAAGAAAAAAAATGAAAAAAAAATACTTCATACGATTTTTTTTCTTTTTTTCAAGTAGCCAGTGAGACCTGTCTGAAGTAGATAGAGACCAAATCCTGCACTACAGCAGGACTTCACCCCTCAAATGCTTGACCTATCCACCCACAGCAGACTTTTTTGGGGGAAAGATGAACAAAAGCTGCTGTGCGCAGGAAGCCAGAGAGGTCAGGACATTCAAAGAGCTCAAATTAAAATACCACTCACCAGGAAATTTTTAAAGCTTCTTTTATTGACCTTCCCATGCCCTGGGCATTAAAAGCCAGATTTGAATGGGAGAAGGTAATTTCAGATCCCAGAGGTGTGATGCTTTTCAAGCACGGTGAAGCTCAAGGGGGTGTTGGGTCAAGTGGTTAATTTTACCATGATTTCATCAAGGCCATTTTTCCTCAGGTTGCTCATGAAGATAGCTCATGAAGAGATGTACTCAAGATGTATCGCCCTTGCTGCTCTCTCTTTGACTGCTAGGTTGGTTATCTTGTCAAAGAACGAAATTAAATCGCTTCGTCACAGTTGTTCTTGGCAGTGTTCGCTGGGTATTTATCACCTAATTATCATTTAGATACTTGAAATTCATCGTTGAATAATTTGTTCTAATATTTTTCCTGGAATCAGGTCTATAATTTTCTTTGTCCTCCCCTCTGTAATACCTGCTCGCCACTGAGGCACACCATGCAGCTTTTGGATGGCAAGTCCCACGTAAGTGCTGGTAAAGTTAATGCACTATGACAGGATCTTGCTGGCAGCCTAAACTGAATGTGGCTCCAGCTTATGCTAGATCTGGAACAGGTGACCCTCTGGGACTAAAGGCAAAAAGACACAAAACTAGTGTGAGATGCTTGCAGGATCTCACTAGGGATACTGTAACAGTAGCAGCCAGGTGGCTAGTGCACATGGTTCTTAAGGGGGATAATGGCTGATACGCCCAGAAAAAATCAGAGAGTTCACACTTATTGGTTTGCACTTCTTGGTTTCCTTTCCCTGCTCTCATGGGAAGACCTCCAAGCTCCTCAACCTGCTGAGTAGAGTGATTGCTGGTGGAATTTTCATTAACAAACTCAAAGACTGCTCCAAATCAGTGGCAGGTTCTTCCAGAGCTTACCCTCATGGTAGAGCAAGCAGGCCCTATTTGTGTGCTGCCTTTTCCAATGAGTTAATGCTGACACTACTGGGAAACCTGGACCATGAACACGATTGATCCTGCCAACCAGGTTGTTGTCCTAGATGCTGTGTCAAGGTAGAGCCCTACTGTTCATGTCTCTCTTGAGTTTTGCTGTCTCCTCTTGCAAATGTGAGGCTGATGACAAAGGCTATGAAGGAATTCGCCACTGGCTTTGCATCTTGTTACTGCAAAGCACTTACTTAAACTTCTAAGTACACAAGTAGTCCCACTGTGGTTCATTAGTGTTGAACAGGTGGTTAATCCTTTTGCTGCTTAATATTCATTTCTCAAATGACTTTCGGTGAAGGCAGCACTGAAACCTTTGGCCGTTGGAGCGGTAGCCACATGGCCTGGGAGATGGGCTGGCTCTGTCTGTGGTGACTGTGTTACTGGAGAAGCAAGGGACGCAACCACCTGCTTAAGCATCCTATAATTAAGTGTTATGCAAAGGAAGAATGAAGCAAGGCTTCTCTCAGTAACATAACGAAAGTGTGTGTTTTAAATAGAGTCCCTTAAGTATGCAATGGAAGTAAAGGCTTAAAGTGTGACTTCTGTAACACCTTTTAGCTGTGATTTCTAGGTTGTTTCACGAATATGAATCCCACTTACCACCTGGTCTGTAAAGAAAGTAATATTGCCTGCATTTTGTACAGTGTTTGCGAGGATCTTAATAACTGCCTTTTGCTCCTGAGCCTTTGGTCCTTCCATAGTGGGAGGGTTTCCTTAAATTTAGGGCCAGGCAAAAGTATAGGACTCAAGAGTGGTATGAAATAAGTCATTAATTGGCCTGAAATAAAGAACCGATCCAAGCCCAGATGTGCACAATACTAAAAATCGTAATAAGGTGATTTCTCCCATTAGACGACTTCAAAAGGCCTTTTATGGCATCTGCAGAGGGATTGTTTCATATTGTTTCTTTGCTATTGAGCAGGACTTCAGAACACTAAAAATTTGTTTCCTTGGTCCAGTTTCAGTAAATTTAGTGGATATTCTTGGTTTTGCATCCAGTTCTTAGAGATCTGAGTGGTGATTTAATGAATTAATAAACCTAAACATAAGAAAACATATTAAAGAATAATGAACAACTTGTTTTATAGCAAAAGGAATTGCCAGGAGAATTAACTTTGAAACCAGAATTAACTTTGAAGTTGTTTGTTTTGAAAACCTCTGCCCTTATCCCTTCTAGCAATTTTAACATTATAATAAATGTTTCACTATAAGCTCAGTGCCTCAGTGAAGTTAAGTGGAAAAATGCATTTTATATAACTAGCAAAACTAGAAAACCCCATTGGAGTAAAATGCTTTAATGAAATATGTTAGGGTGAGATGTACAACCTCATAGTGCTTAAAGAGGGGAAAAAGTAAACATACTCAAAAAAGGAGAAAAAAAAAGCCTCTTGGGTAAAGATAAAATTTTCTTCCTCTAGGTTTTGTATTTGCTAGTCATCTTATCTTTGCCATCCAAAGCCATTTTACCATCAATATGTAAAAAAAAAAAATCATACCTGAGACTTCCAGTCTTTAGAAAAAAAAGACAGCAAACAAAACCGCAGACCTCTCCTTAGGCAATATTCAGCTAGAAATACATTTAACCATCTCATCCGCTCTGCATCTTGTTCCATTTTCCACCTGATTACAGCCAAAATAGAAGCCGCTTAAGAAGATCCTCTCTCTTTGCTCTTCATCATATTGTCGTCGGTACCTTCACAGGCAA